CAATGGATCATGGTGTGAACTTAGTTTTCCTCTGTGACAATTGTTGGAGTCCTTTTAATGACTTAAACGTAGACCTCAAGGTTGTGCGCACAACCCAAGATACACTTTTACCTTGATATAATTACGATAAAAAGTTTATTACGTACCAATAAAATGAAATGAATGTTACGAAAATGTAATATAATACCCAATTAAATGGGGGGCCCATATTTATAAAGTACCCGCGTTATAAAAATCACGAAATAAAATATAAATTAAATGAATTAATACTCCGATTCCCGATATCTAATAAATAAATAAATATATAAGTGAATAGAGAGAAAGAGAGCTAGCTTAAGGTCAAAAATATTAAGAAGAAAGAAAAGAAAGTAAAAGAGCAAATCAAAAAGTGTGTAGTTTCCATTTCTGTATTAGGACTATTAATGCTACCCAAAATGCGACTAAGAAGTTACACATGTAATAACTACAGGGATCGATTTACACACACGCGAAAATGTGTTGTATATATGTATGTATTGTGCGCGTAATTGATTTACCACATTTGTATATGAATTTACGAGATTTTTTTCATATTTAGACACATTAATTCATATTTACAATAAATCTGGTTGATTTTTTTTGTCATATATTTTTTATGTAAAACTCGTGCATTTTAAACTATATTTGGTTTATATTTTGCTTATAAAATAAAGTCCAGAGTCTATCGATACACTATTATTATAAATTTATTAATGTAATAGTATTCTTTTTACGTTTTTTCTTTAGAAAAGACAACGGAACCAAAAATTATGTTTGAAATGAAATTGCCTTTTTCAATGTTAATAAATATTTCGTAAAACAAACTTGAGCTGTGTACCTAGTAGTGTTTTCTTTTTTTATATCAATTTCATGTCATGAAAAAATGAGGTTTCGAAATTATAAATAACTTAATTAATGATTTTTTGTTAATGTACCTATGTAAAAGCATAATACTTTTACAAAATGAATTTAAAATTGAATATAACAATCTATATGTATTTAGAGGTACAAACTATTGGGAAAGTTAAATTCATTTTATTTATAATATCATTTTAATGCATGGTTAAAACTAGGTACCATTATACAACGTAATCGAAAAAACGTTCCCATGAACGTACTTAGAAATTAAAACAAAGGTGTCACAAACCGCCTACGCGGCTGAGATTGTAAGTTGTATTTGATCCCTGTAATGATTGTGATTATGTTGCACTAGGACCGCCGTGAGACAAAACGTGTAATATTAAACGACTATCATTTTTGCCAACTAACGGTCTATATGTAATGCAAAGAAAAGATTCTTTTGACCAGAGTTAGATATTACATACATAATTAGTAACATCCTACTAATTATGCAAATCGATGTGACAAGTGTTGCGACATAAACAATTAATAAAAATATATGTGCCAATGGTTATAACCGATTTATAGGATATTCCACTTTTCATAGTTTATTTAGATTTAGTAGGGCCCTAATGTAAGAATAGTTTTAATAATGTTTATATACTCACACTGCAGTGTGACTGGAATGGGTATGCTGAAGTTTATCCACTTAAAAGTAAGGATACTATTTCATAGTTTATTTAGATTTAGTAGGGCCCTAATGTAAGAATAGTTTTAATAATGTTTATATACTCACACTGCAGTGTGATTGGAATGGGTATGCTGAAGTTTATCCACTTAAAAGTAAGGATACTATTTCATAGTTTATTTAGATTTAGTAGGGCCCTAATGTAAGAATAGTTTTAATAATGTTTATATACTCACACTGCAGTGTGATTGGAATGGGTATGCTGAAGTTTATCCACTTAAAAGTAAGGATACTATTTCATAGTTTATTTAGATTTAGTAGGGCCCTAATGTAAGAATAGTTTTAATAATGTTTATATACTCACACTGCAGTGTGATTGGAATGGGTATGCTGAAGTTTATCCACTTAAAAGTAAGGATACTATTTCATAGTTTATTTAGATTTAGTAGGGCCCTAATGTAAGAATAGTTTTAATAATGTTTATATACTCACACTGCAGTGTGATTGGAATGGGTATGCTGAAGTTTATCCACTTAAAAGTAAGGATACTATTTCATAGTTTATTTAGATTTAGTAGGGCCCTAATGTAAGAATAGTTTTAATAATGTTTATATACTCACACTGCAGTGTGATTGGAATGGGTATGCTGAAGTTTATCCACTTAAAAGTAAGGATACTATTTCATAGTTTATTTAGATTTAGTAGGGCCCTAATGTAAGAATAGTTTTAATAATGTTTATATACTCACACTGCAGTGTGATTGGAATGGGTATGCTGAAGTTTATCCACTTAAAAGTAAGGATACTATTTCATAGTTTATTTAGATTTAGTAGGGCCCTAATGTAAGAATAGTTTTAATAATGTTTATATACTCACACTGCAGTGTGATTGGAATGGGTATGCTGAAGTTTATCCACTTAAAAGTAAGGATACTATTTCATAGTTTATTTAGATTTAGTAGGGCCCTAATGTAAGAATAGTTTTAATAATGTTTATATACTCACACTGCAGTGTGATTGGAATGGGTATGCTGAAGTTTATCCACTTAAAAGTAAGGATACTATTTCATAGTTTATTTAGATTTAGTAGGGCCCTAATGTAAGAATAGTTTTAATAATGTTTATATACTCACACTGCAGTGTGATTGGAATGGGTATGCTGAAGTTTATCCACTTAAAAGTAAGGATACTATTTCATAGTTTATTTAGATTTAGTAGGGCCCTAATGTAAGAATAGTTTTAATAATGTTTATATACTCACACTGCAGTGTGATTGGAATGGGTATGCTGAAGTTTATCCACTTAAAAGTAAGGATACTATTTCATAGTTTATTTAGATTTAGTAGGGCCCTAATGTAAGAATAGTTTTAATAATGTTTATATACTCACACTGCAGTGTGACTGGAATGGGTATGCTGAAGTTTATCCACTTAAAAGTAAAGATACTATTTCAATGGCATTAGCTTCTTTTAGATTTGTTAAGATTTAAAATGAATAATATAGTTCAAGTTTAAGAAAATATTAATATTGTAAACAGCCTTATATATGTCTCTTATAATATTTTTGATAACTATACTTTTTTAAACTGTATTTTCATAAACTTAAATTTGATGATAGTTTAATAAATTTAAATAAAGAGATAGAAAATTATTTTTTTTTAATTACAGTGTTTACGATATGTTATTTTCATTTGATTATGATATATTTGTGTTACAGTATAAGAATTTTAATATTTTAAAACAACGTATACCTTTTTTATTTTTTTATACACCAAGTTATGTTACATTTAAAAAAAATTGTGATTTTTTTTTCTTTTTGCCGATGGGCGTGTAGTGTGTGCATATATATATATATATATATATATATATATATATATATATATATATATATATATATAATATATATATATATATATATATAGGATATATATAGGATAGAATAAGAGAGAGTTAGTAATAAACCTACAGTCAAGACCACTAGACGTATTATTATTTATTCCCCGAATCTCCCCACATTACATTACAATAAAAATATACTTGCAACTCCGCAAACATATCCGTATTGTTTAGCGAAAAAAATATTTTTATTTATTATAATTCTATCAATTACATTACATTACATTTAATTCTTTTCTGTAAGTCGATTTTAACGAAATCTTTTTTCTAACATCTATTGAAGTTTCATTATTTATTTTTTTATAAATTGGTAGAAACTTCTAAAGTGCCTTCATTCGCTTACAATTGTTTTTAAAACCATCACACGATGTGTCCCATAATATGGGCGTTGTTTTTGAACATAATATAAAATCCTGTAAATATTTTTGATGGATTGTAGATCGTCCCGTCGAAACGGGATTCTCGCTTTCATTCGCGATTTCGCCCGAATCGCTACAAATCGTCCTCCTCCATCGCTTCTCCAGAGTAGACTGACGCGATCCGTATCGCAGCAACTCTACACGCGCAATATTTATCACGATCCTTGGATCGCAATATGGATTTTCGAAAATCTAGAAATTCTGTGATCCGTATCGCGATCCATCAATACTTGATATTACACGTTCAATAAATATGATCCTGGATCGCGATCCAGGGGTCGTGATAAATATCCCGCGTGTAGCATTCGCCTTATAATTTGAAAAGTAAATGAGCAAGATTTTTTATGATCCTGGATCGCGATCCAAGGATCGTGATAAATATCAAGCGTGTAGCATTCGCCTTATAATTTGAAAAGTAAATGAGCAAGATTTTTTATTTATGATCCTGGATCGCGATCCAAGGATCGTGATAAATATCAAGCGTGTAGCATTCGCCTTATAATTTGAAAAGTAAATAAGCAAGATTTTTTATTTATGATCCTGGATCGCGATCCAAGGATCGTGATAAATATCAAGCGTGTAGCATTTGCCTTATAATTTGAAAAGTAAATAAGCAAGATTTTTTATTTATGATCCTGGATCGCGATCCAAGGATCGTGATAAATATCAAGCGTGTAGCATTCGCCTTATAATTTGAAAAGTAAATAAGCAAGATTTTTTATTTATGATCCTGGATCGCGATCCAAGGATCGTGATAAATATCAAGCGTGTAGCATTCGCCTTATAATTTGAAAAGTAAATAAGCAAGATTTTTTATTTATGATCCTGGATCGCGATCCAAGGATCGTGATAAATATCAAGCGTGTAGCATTCGCCTTATAATTTGAAAAGTAAATGAGCAAATTTTTTTATTTTTCTAATAACTGTCACGACTTGACCTATTGCCCGTTTCCGGCTTGACGTAGATTTCTGGCCCAGCCTGTATAATATGTAGGCATTTGCACGGCAACAACCTTTTACTATCGAGTGAACCATTTACTCGTTTGTCACACTAGTATGAATAATAGGATTAGGGCTGCTGTCGTCGAAGGCAGTTAATTAGTGTAATATAGTATAATAATATATTGTTACTGTCACTTACCTTGCAACGGCACGGGGTCCAGGTCGAGGCTGTGATTCATGTAGGCGTGCCGCGGCTCACCTGCACACACATACACCATATACAAACACTGGCAAAAAACGAGTCTTGGCTCGTTTTAACCTTAACGATAGAATGTTTCTTATCTTCACAAACCTGAAGAAAGTAAGTAATCAAGCAAGGTGTTATCCTTTAGATAAAATTCATATCGGTAACAAAATGTTTTGTATCGCGTTATAAACATAACATACACACAACTTGTATCATAAAGTGTCGGGGGCAGTTGAGGTGACATAGGGAAACAGAAACAGGAGATGGTCAGGATCTTCTTGATAAAACAAAATTAAAAACATGGCAACTCATGTAAAATTCCCCTATAAGGCAATCTATAGAGGAAGCCAATGGCCTATGGTAATGGACGGACGATTTTAAAAAATATTTAGGAGCCAAATGCAGGTTGTTTTATAAGTCGTTTAACAGATCCGGCTCTGAGGATCAAACATAAATAATAAAGTTATACATTTTTATCATAAGAATAAAGTTAATTATTGTCAGAAATATACCTCAGTATTTAATGAAAAACTCCGAAAAATTAAATTAAAGTATGCCAAATCACCAAAGTTTATCAAAAATACACAACACACAAGCCCAATGCTGCATTACGTCCCATAGTGAGCCAAATCGATTCACCAACTTACAGATTGGCTCAGCACTTAGCGAAAATACTCTCACCGCTCAGGGGACATACAAGAGCACACATAAAGGATTCCTAGCATTTTTTCAGCGAGATTAAAGACCTACATCTGGCAGACAATGAAACTATGGTCAGTTTTGATGTGCAGTCATTGTTTACATGCTTACCTGTTGAAGACTGCATCTCAATTGTAACTAGAAGGCTGGAAGAAAACAACATGCCCGTAGAATATGCAGTATTACTCAGACACTGCCTTACATCTGGCTACTATTTGTGGAAGAAGTTTTACTAGCAAGTAGATGGTGTGGCGATGGGCTCACCTGTACCTCCCATTGTCGCCGACATATTCATGGAAGACTTTGAGGAGAAAGCTCTGCTTACTTTTCCCGTAAATCCAAGATTCTACAAGCGGTACATAGACGACACGAACACAATTCTACCTTTAGATAGACTGATTGCATTTTTAAAACATATTAACTCCATAAATTCTAAAATTCAGTTCACAATGGAGTTGGAGGCAGACAATTCTTTAGCTTTTCTAGATGTGTTAGTAATTCGAAACCCTGATAACACCTTGAGCCACACTGTGTATAGACAAAAGCCTCATACAGATAGATATTTATACGATGATTTTCACCACAATTTTTCACGGTTAGCTAGCGTGGTTAAATCATTGTTTCAGAGAGCACGAGAGCAAAACATATTTCAGCCGCCGAAGAAGATTGGTCAGTTTTTAAGCTATTGCATAGCTTATATCGCGGACTTTGAGCGCGGCGACCGAATCAAGAAATTCTGTAACGAAATAAACCTAACATCGCCTAACGTCGTTTAAGTTCGGCAGACTTCGGCACGGTGTTTGTGTGCGTGCTACTAGACGTATGAATGTAGACTAGTTGCATATATTTTAAGATATTAAAAATATTTCAAACAATAATATAATTTATTGCAAGAAGCATATTCATATGAGTCGTCGTCATGCTAACAACTTTCGTGAATTTAGAGTATTTAATAAACACAGACTTTATAGAAAATTATCGTTTGTCGGAGGAACTCGTTAATTACCATAAACCTATAGTTTCAATGATAAAAATTCCTGAATAACCTACATCTATTGTAAGATAATAAAAATATTTTAAACTTCTCATTTATTCATTTAAAGAAAAAAAATTGTTTTCTTATCGGTCACCACGCTCAAAAAGTGTAACTTGAATTAACATCAAAGAAAAATCTTGAAATAATATCAAACAAATAAAACAAAGAAAAAAATACTGCATAAATAAAATAAATAAATAATTATAATTGGATAAGTTGATAAAAATGCTATGCAATAGCTTTACCGCGGCAGTCCCCGAGTGCCACACGTATTTTTTTACCATCAGGCAAGTGTAATGTTCCACTGCAAGATGTAGGAGTGTACAAGCTTGATTGTGAATGTGGTCTCTCTTATATAGGACAAACAAAAAGATCAATTAAAACCCTCGATAAAGAACATATAGCTGGTGTAAAGAATCGACACTACGGAAAGTCTGCAGTCTGTAAACACGCACTGGATCGCCCCCGTCACTACATTAGATTTGATAGAGCACAAATCCTCGCTAAAGAACACCGATTCTTTCCAGGAATCAGAATTCGCGAGGCTATTGAATCAAAAAACATCCTCATTTCAATAGAGAAGCTGACTAGGTGCTACCATCTGCTTCGAATCCTATAATTAGTAAGATTAAATCCCAACTCTGCATGGGTACAACTGCAAGACTCCAAGATACTATAAGTTCACATTGTGTAGATCGGAACAAAAATTAATAATTTTTATCTGTGGGTAACTGCGGTTGACTATGACATCGGGACGTCCACGTGATCGCTGCTAGTGATCACCCTCGCAATCTCTGAGACGTCACTGAACAGTCCCCGTCTAGTCGTCATAATGAAGTCAATCTCATTTTGTGTCAAATCGTTGGAGCTCGATCAGGTCCACTTCTGAGGGGCCGCTTCTGGAAGAAAGAGTTCATCATAAAGAGTCCCTAGTCTTTCTCCATGAAGTCTACCTTTATTTAGCTCACCGCTCTCTCTTGTGCCTAGTTTTGCGTTGAAGTCTCCCATTAACACCATATAGTGAGTTTTGGAGGAATGCATGGCTTTAGAGATCTCCTCATACATTTCCTCCATCTCCTCATCGGGATGTTTCAAGGTTGGTGCGTAAAACTGTATGACCTTCAACGAATAGCGTTTGGTGATTTTGAGCATAAGGTACGAAATCCTTGTCGACACACTCTTACTTTTAGATTACCGTGTCTTCTCCCTCTTTTCGAACCTCAGATAATCCTATAATATCCCAACGCAAAATGTCTATCTGTCGAGTCGCCTTAGTTGGCAGCCGAACCTCCGCCGGAGATTCCTGGCACTAATTACTAAAATCTTAATTGAGGAAAAACATTTTTTTTAAAGACTGATCTCATAGAAGTGCGATTGAGAGGAAGAGTGACGCTACTTTGTTAAGTGTGAGCGAGATAGATATTGACGCTACTTTGTCAAGTGTGAGCGAGGTAAATAGTGACGCTACTTTGTTAAATATGCGCGAGGTAGATAGTGACGCTACTTTTATCTAAGAGCGAAACGAATTGACACATCATTTCGTCTGTGTGAGTGATACTGATAGAGACGCCACTTCTGGTTCCATCCATATCACAGTACAGAGTCTGCTTCCCCGATACTACCCAGAGAGAGCGCGATTTTGTCGAACGATGTTGTGGTAGCAACGAGAGGATCCGCGATTCTTCGAAAAATTTCTGTGGTCCCATGAATCAATATTTAAAAAGGATGGTTACATGAGCCTCCACAACTTGCACGAACGTGTGTACGAGAATTTTGTATGATAAAGTAATTCCAATCAAGCTGCCGGAGAAGTTAAAAGCCCAGGATTATTTGGACTTCTTACAGAACCAATTACCAGATTTATTGGAAGAAGTTCCACTGAACATTTACGGCAGCATGAGTTATCAACAAGATGGCTGCCCAGCGCATTATGTCTTCATAGTACGAGAGTTTCTCCATCGAGAATACCCAAATAGGTGGAATAGGCGAGGTGGTGGTACAATTTCGTGGCCTGCCCGTTCACCCAACTAAACCTCATAGATTTCTTTTACTGTGGTACGATAAATGATAAAGTGTACTCTAAACCTATTCAAGATTTAGACGAGCTGCGCTACAGAATTGCAGAAGCCGCTGAATACATCACCTCGAGAAAATATGCCCGTCTTATTACGCTATCATTTTGAAAGAAATGTAGAGTTTGCATTGCAACTGAAGGCAATATATATAATAACTAAATAAATCCAACAACTTATTTAAAATGAACCTTAAACTAATAAATTACTTTTTTCCTCAATTACGAAGCAGCAATTAATAAGTGTGCTACCATTTTGGAATTCAGACTAAACATGCGTTTTAAAGTTACTTGCCAAAATAATGTAGTACGTTTTTTTACAGTACAGTCGGTTAAAGTTGAGTGCTGTCAATATATTGAATTCAATGTTGGGTAAAAATCTAACATTTTATTTAAAACTGAGGATATTTTAACTGTAATTTACAGAAGGGTTATTCATGGTATACCTCACAAAAAAAACTGACGAAATGTTAATATTTGTAGTCACAGGCCTTTAAAAATCATCACAGGGTGTCCGTTTTTGAGATTTATTTTTGAATTCTTATTATTTTAAAAGTACATAACCAAGATTTTTACTTAAATTTTGCTAATAACTGTCACGACGTTGTCTATTGCCCGTTTTCGGCTTGAAGTTGATTTCTGGGTCACGTGATATAATCGATTAATAATAACAATTCAAATACCTTTTCACCGTCTCTTGTACAACCTAACACACGTTCAATGCGGAACACAGGCCTTCCCAAGGAATACAAACATTTCAGCAGTTCGGTATACTGATAGTCGACTTGGCACCGCTGAAGGGACTATAACACTGCATAGATTTTGCTTTCTCATAATCTACATCCGCAAAAAAAATACATACGTGTTGCTTTTTAATCAATTATAATAATTTAGAAAAGAATGAAATTTATTAAATAATATCATGTATATAAATCCGTTACTTGTGTCCAAAATTTTAATTTATACGTGGGTTGATGGCGTTTTTAGACTTATCCTCTTAAATTTGGTCGTATGATCCACAGCTGTTAAATGTCCTCGTACATATGTTTTAAGATCATCGGTTCCATCCATCATCCATCATTCCATCATCATCTAACGGGCTCTACTGAAAGTAATGTTCTTCCTGCCATACAGATCACCAACGGATAGCTTATATTCAAAAAGCGGTATCTTATCGGTAAGTAAGCTGTACCGCCTACGTATTGT